GGCTAGGACCTGGAACCAACTTCCAAGAGAAGTGGTGCTGGCTCCTACCCGGGGGGTCTTTAAGAGGAGGCTGGACGAACACCTTGCTGGGGTCGTTTGACCCCAGTATTTTTTCCTGCCATGGCAGGGTGTTGCACTTGATGATCTGCTCAGGTCCCTTCCGACCCTACAAACTATGAAACTATGAAAGCAAGCCGTTCTGCTATTCATCAAATGAGGGTTGTGTCAATTTTTAAAGCACTAGGTTTAAGATCTGGTTTGTAAGTGCAACAGTGGGGGGCTCCAGTCCAGGCTCCTGGGCAGCACCCAGCCCTGCCCTTCTCTATCCACCCGGCACACCCGCTGCAGCATGCGGCCCCAGTGTGGGCACAGCCCGGAGCCCAGGGGTTTGCAAGGCCACCCTCAGAGCCCCTGGGCCTTGCTCTGCTGTGAGCCTGGGGTCCGGTTAGCTCGTAGGGGCTCTGCCCTGACTTTGCTCCCCTCAGCATCGATGCTCCCTTCCCACAGGCACTCACTGCATAGCACCACCGGCCCCCTACTCCATGGGCACTCACTGCATGGTGCTGCCAGCCCCCTGCCCTGCCCTGCCCTGCCTGCAGGCACTCACCATAGTGACTGTTGTGCACATAGATCACCTGGCCTTGCTCGGTGGGGGTCTTGCCCAGGCAGTACAGGATGCCGACCAGGTTGGCTACGGAGAAGCCTCGGGCCTGGACCTCGCTGCTGCGGTTGCGGTAGTTCTGGACTCGTGTCCCAGGCGGCGCCATCACGACCTTGTTGTCCCGCTCAATCTGCAGGGAGTTCACGTTACGCTCGCCCATCACGCAGGAGAGGTAGAAGCCGTTGTGGGATGGGCTCTGCACGTTGGCCACCAGCGTGATGTCCAGGATGGCACCTGCACCGCGGTGAGGGGGGTGGTGAGTGTGTCAGTGGCCACGGCCAGACAGCATAGCAGGGAACCTGGGGGCTCCTGGCCCCTGCCCCAAGCCATGGGTGTGCCGTGCTTGGGAGCGAACAGAGCAGCTCCTGGTCCCACCTGCCCTGTGCCCTCTGTGGGGTCGGCACAGGAGCTGGGGGCTGCCCAGGTTCTACCAGAGCCCTCTCCTGAATGACCGCAGCCTCGCAACAGAACGCAGTTCAACAAGGAGAAATGCAAAGTGCTGCACCTAGGGAGGAAAAATGTCCAGCACACCTACTGCCTAGGGAATGACCTGCTGGGTGGCACGGAAGTGGAAAGGGATGTTGGAGTCCTGGTGGACTCCAACATGAACAAGAGTCGTCAGTGTGACGAAGCCATCAGAAAAGCCAATGGCACTTTATCGTGCATCAGCAGATGCATGATGAATAGGTCCAAGGAGGTGATACTTCCCCTCTATCGGGCGCTGGTCAGACCGCAGTGGGAGTACTGAGTGCAGTTTTGGGCGCCGCACTTCAAGAGAGATGTGGATAACCTGGAGAGGGTCCAGAGAAAGGCCACTCGTATGGTTAAGGGCTTGCAGACCAAGCCCTACGAGGAGAGACTGGGGCACCTGGACCTCTTCAGCCTCCGCAAGAGAAGGTTGAGAGGCGACCTTGTGGCTGCCGATTAGGTCATCACGGGGGCACAGAAGGGAA